GCACAGTTTCAGGACTGCACGAGGCAGTTGCTCAGAGTTTGGCAGCCGTCCCCTCCGCGTGCCCGTCCTCCTGGAAGTGCCGAGGAGCAGCAGACTTTGCAGCTCAGGGCAGGGCAGTGACTCAGCAAGGCAGATTGCTGGGCTCCTCTCAGCAGCCTTTGGCTCCCACCGAAGGCAGGAGCCAGTTCAAGGTTGCTGTGGTGACTGTTTGCAAAGCTCTGCCTGGAATTCATTTCAGCTACCAAGAGACTGTCTGTCACTCCATGGCTGCCACCTCCCACAAGAGCTTCGTTCTGCTGCTAGACTGGAGCGTTATTGAAGTGTTCCCTGCTGACAACAGAGGCCAGTGGTCTGCTGTTTATGCCCAATAAAATCCTTTTGGTTTCAGAAGTTCTTCACGGATGAGTATTTTGGCCCTAAGATGTTTTTTTGGCACAGCTTTTGCTGGACACCGGTAAGGTCTGAGTTTTGTAGTCCAGCAGAGAGCAAGTTGCAAATTAAATCCAACTTTGCCCAGCTCTGCTTTTCCCTAAATAACTACAGCATGTTTTGTTGGGTTTTTTTTTTTTTAAAGCAGAATAATAGTGGAGCAAAAAGGAATGCATGCCTGAGCTATTTTTCTTTCTTTTGTCTTTCCATCAATCTTGTTTGTTGCTAATACACTGAAGAATTAATAACTGGTACATTAGATAAATCGTGGTAAAACATCATCCTAATGTGCTTGTAGCAGCAGTAGCATAATGAGACAGCTACTGTAAGAAAGCTAATCCTGAAAGTTAGGCCAGCCCAGGGCTAGGCAGATTAATTCTTCCAATCCCTGAAGAGATTCAGGATTTTCATTCCTGACTGAGCTGCCTGTATCCTGTTTTCTTCCTCCTTTTCATTAATCCATATTTATGTTTTCTCCTCCCCTTTTCCTCATCTTTGCCCCCAAGTGTTCCTCAGCTTTATATATTGAGTTCCCCTTGGCATGCCAGAAATCTGCTGATGAATACCACTTGTTTGAAAGTTGCATGCAAGATTTTTCTCTGCAAGTGTTTTCTATGAAATCCAAGTGAGCAAGTATTATGTACAACTTACCCATGGCTTCAAGCCTAACTTTTCCTTGTGTGCATATGATACTTGCAGTATACATGAGAAATACACTTAGAGAATAACAGCAAAAATTGTCTGTGCATTTGGAGCGTTGCTTGCTGGTTTGGATGTATCCAGAGGAAAAATATTTGAAGGATAGATTTAAAAAATAGGAAACAGCTTTCTGTAAAGATGAAAGCTATTAATCATTGAAACAAATGATCAAAAGGAGTTAGGGGATCTCCACCATCCAGGCTTTGAATTCAGTAATGGATGCTTGGCTAGAGAAGAAGCACTAATGGGTGGCATTTGGCCTTTGTTCCAGAGCAGATGATTGAAGAATTTTGCCTTCAGTGTCTTCCCCCATAACTCTTAGGATTTTCCCTCACAAGACCAGCTCTGACTGCTGTAGCTCCCCCGCTGTGAATTGCTGTGTGAGTGCTGGGGACATCCTGTCCTGGCCTGCCCCATATTCCCATTCCTTTAAAGTCTTCAGCTCTGGAAGCCCCTCCGTGCTGTGGCTGTGTGAAGGTTTCTTTTTGCAGCTGACCCTAAATGTCTTGGAGCAGCACAAGTTCCTTCTGGGGAAGGGAGATCCTAGAGCTGTGGTAGCTCTTTAAGTGTGTTTGTGTCCTGTTTAACTGTTACATATTTGGGAAATAGGAAAATCTAGGAGCGTCTTCCAGTACAGCAGAGATTTGGTCTCTACATTTCTGAGTTGATATATGTTCGCTGGAGACAAAAGACTTAATTTCTGAAATTGCTGGGTCTTGGTTGGTGTTTGGTTTATTTTTTTCCCCTCCCCTGACATGCTTAATCTTTTGTAAACCCCCTTTTGTGGCTTTGTTCAGGCAATTAATGTAAAAATGAAGGATTCTTAAATCAGGATATGCAAGGAAGAGTTGAAGTAACACACTGATTATATAATTAATTCTCAGTTTTAAATTCATTTTGATGGAGTTAATTCTTTCCCAGAGGCTGAAGACTAGGTTTGGTCCACCCACAGTACTGTAATCAGCTAAGAAATAAAGGAGACAAAGGCCTTGAATTAATGGAAGTTATCACGACTGGTTTTAGGGAAATAATACCAGAAAAAGGCGGGATATTTCATTTTCACTTGACACAAAAGCTTCTGAGCTGTGATCTTAAACTATCGGTATCCAAATCCAGTTTTCAAGCAGTATGATACGTGGAGTCCAAAAGAAATCAGAAAGGAATGACACCTGAAGAATATGAAGAATTGTCTGGGTGGTGGGACCTTGCACGGATGAGGAAGTGTGTTTAGTGGAAGATGTGTTTTGGATTCTTTCTTTACATTTTCCACAAACATGGTAGTGTTCAAATATAGCTCTCTCTATGACAGTTGCCCATTTACTAATAAATAAGGTCCAGTGACTGTCATCCTGACGGACTCTTACTGTTTCTGACAGTGTTTTCTGAGGTGCTGGCTTCACAAAGCATAAACAACACTCCAAAACCTAAATAATTTGGAAAATACTGTTTGTTGTACTTCATTTGTCTGCTTCTCTGTTGCTTAACCAGTGACCTAATAATCCTGTCCATGTGTTTAGACTGCAGGTTTCCAGAACCAAACAACAATAACAAAGAAATGATGTTGACAAATTCCCAGAATTTTCAAACAGTTATGCCCATCGTGCATACACACAGTTGCAGCCTATTTTTCTCTCAAATAATTTATTTTATTTACAAGGTTTTCTAATCCCAGTTCATCTCTGCCTTTACATTGGTTGGCCATATTTTGCATCAGAAATTGAAAGCACTGTTGTCCAGGGGTGATTTTAGCACGCAGCCAGGTGAGCATGGCCATGCAGTTGTCATAACTTAGGGACTGGCAGTTTCTGGTTTATTTTCTGGCTCTGCTTCGTGGCTGCAGCAGGAGTTGTGTTGTGTTGTGTTGGTTTAACTGTGTTATCACCACATTGCGGAGCTCCATCGAGGATGTGTAAATGAAGTCAGCATGATGCAGGCAGAGCTGGCAGATGATCTGCCTTGCAGCTCTGGGCAGCAAGAGTAGGCTTGCCCTGCAATATCACTTCATTTAAGTGGTTTCTTTACCCCTCTGCCTGAATTTGGACAGAATGAAATCCCCACTGTCTGGTTTTCCATGGGCTGCTCCCCAACTTCTGCTTGCAAGTTTGGTGGGAAAAAAGCCAGCTATGGCCAAAGAACCGTTCTACCATCCCAGTGAGGAAATAGTTAAATATAATTTCAATGTGTCATTTACATTTGAGCCTAACGAGATTATAACTGGAGCTGTGTGAAAATGACTTTTTGGTGCTATTTTCACATAAACTGACTATTTATTTATTTATTTTGTTCTGGGGTTATTTCACACCCCAAGGGTTTCATTTTTGTTGGTTGTTTTATTAATGTAAAAATACTCATTTTCACACCCAAATGTGTGATTATTTAAAATGCTGCTTCTATTCATTGTGCACTGACTTGCAACCTAAAGGCAAATATTCAAATGTCTGGAGCTTGATAACTCCATGGTGGTTTTGGCTGGCTTTTTAAACTCAAAAATTGCTGGGAAGAGAAATGGGCAGTAAGTAATTCAAAGTGGTATAAGGGCTGCATTCCCATGCCTGCCTCTCAGCATCCCAGGATGGGTCACAGGTTATTCCAGCACTCTCTGCAGAGCGGTGCCCTGTCTCAGCTCCATACAGACCCTCTCCCAGCATGGTAGTGCCAAAATGCTGGAGCAAGAGCCCTCACCTCTGTGGCTCTGTGTGACTTTAAACAACCTCTGACCCTGTCCTGCATGGAGGAGGATGGCAACACAGAGGCAGAATTGCAGAAATACTGATGCAAAAGTCTCTGGTCCTTGCTCATTCTCATCCACCCTTTCCTCTACCTTGGCTGGTGTGGGCGTGGAGAACAGGGATACCAAATGCACTTTGCCATTATCTCCTCTCTCTGGGAACAGATTGGTTAAAACACAGCTTAAAATGTTTTGTTGGTTCATTTTTTGTTGTTTCTTTTTTTTTTTTTTTATTTTATTTCTTTTTTTTTCTTTTTTTTTTTTTTTATTTTATTTCTAAATTGGACTGATTTTTAAGTGTCTAAATGTGATGTAAAATCAGTGTCCAGGGCTTTGCATTTTGTACTAAGTGAATGTTTTGCTGATTTCTTGCTAGAATATCTGCAACCACGCCAATTTGCATGCCTGTATGTGTGTTAGATTGCTGGCAAAGAAATGCTGAATGCTGATAATTGTATACTGGTTTTCAAGCCTGATTTAAGTAATTTTGATTTTTAATTCATTCTGTGCTTCCTTTTTATTTCTGCACATGTGTAGTAATGTCCTGTAATGTTGTTGCCTAAAATAAGCAGTAAAAAATGAAGTTGAGATGGCCGCTGCAAAGGGAAAATGACATTTTTTCCTTTGATCCTTTTTTTTTCCCAGCAAAAGAATAAGTCTCTGTATGGAGAATGCACAAAAAATATTGCATTCACTATCTTGCTGCTAATTTATATACACGAACCAGCATGGCTGTGGGGGGCCTACAAAGCTCAGAAATGTGATATTTAGAAGTTCTGCACAAGAATATTTTTGTTCTTGAGGAGCACTGAGCAGCCAGCACTCCACACCAGGGGTGCTCAACACCTCTTGTGCTTTGGCATCCAATTGTGTGAAATCCTGGTTGAAATCCTGCAGTCAAATTGTGTTAGAAGATGAAGAAACCTCTGCCCATGTGTTGAGAAAAAGGAAGAAAATACAGGGATCTATACAAATAATGTTGGTTCTGTGTGATAAACCCAGGGTGTTCTTTCTGCCTTTCCTTCAGTGAAATTCTTGAGGTGATGGATGGATCAGCAGTGCTGGAAATCTTAGTTTCACCATGTGTCTGTGGACACCCTAGCAAATTATTAAAAGTCTTGGTTTTCTGGTTTCTTTTGATTAGGAATCTGAGAAAAAGGGGCTGATTGAGAGAATCCACATGGTCCAGGAGATCATCATAGCTGTTCAGAGCATCCTGGAAGAAATAGCATCGTTTGGAGAGAGGATTAAAAAGTAAGTAATAATCTTTTCTTTGACCATGATTCGAAATGAAGCAGAACCAGGAGGATCAAAGTGGAGTAATTGTCTTGCTCCAAAAATGTCTGCAAGTTGCAGCAGGATAAGCTGGCTAGTCCCACCCCTGCTTCTTCTCCTACAGTCTTTTATTCCAAAACACCTTTGCAGAGCACAGAGAAGAGGAGAAGCAGTGTTCCTTACTGATGTAGCTTTCATGTTTGCCTGAATTTAAGGCTGCTTGTTTGTGATGGGGTGGGGATGCCACAGATACTGTTTGAAGATGTGGTCACAGAAGCATCAGGCATTTCTTTTCAGTCCCATCACAGAAAGTGGGTACTGATGGTCAGTGTTGCCTTTCCCACGCCCTCCCCATCCTGACCTGGCTGTTGGGGTCACCAGTCACTTGTGTCCCTGGCCAACACATTGATCTTCTTCTGTCTTTGCCTTTCTGAGCTGTCTGCTTCCTGCTGGTGCCACGAGGAAGCCCAAAGGGGGTTTTCAGGGTCTCATGGCAGGAGGGGAGACACAGAGGGTATTCCTGACCTTACAAAGGAGGGAGGTGAAGAGCCTAAAAAAAATCCCACAGGCAAACACACACAAACCTTTTATAACTCCGTCTTTATTGGCACTTAATTGATCCATATTGTTGTCTGTTTTGAACACAAAGTGATGGTTTGTGACCGAGGCTCACTTTAATGAGGAGCTGAGTTCAAGCTAAAAATACAGCAACCACATGTGCTGTGGTGCCACGCCGGACACCCCAGCTGGGGTGGAAGTGGCCCAAAGTTGTATTCCAGTCTATGAACAGGGCACTGTTCTGCCCAGCTGCATGGCAGGAAGACTCAAAACACTTAAACACTATTAATTCTTGCATTCATTTTGCTAACAATGGTCTTAAAGAACACGTTGGGTATTAATGTGGACACCCGATGTAATTTCAGAAGGATTCTGTTGTAGCTCGGCAGTGATGTGCCATTAAAAAATTGCTATCAAAGTTTTTTTTGTAAGTGACAGACTGAATTGTGCTACAGTTTCCGTCTGTCACTCCAGTTACACAATCATAGGGAGTTTTCAGAGTTTAACTCAATTGAGCTGTTTTGCCTTTTTTTTTTTTTTTTGCTTTAACTTAAGCTACATTGATTGATAATGATGGGTCCTCTCCCACCTATTTTTACTTAATATTTAATACGTCTATTGAAGCTTAAATGTAATTCTTGAAGCGTCCTATTAATTTTATCTGTCAAGGGAAGTTTGTCTTATTTTATAGCCTGATAAGTGGTCCAGATTGATTCTCTCTTCTTCCTACTCCCCATCATTGTCATATGATGAAGTTAGCAGGCAGATTGTGTGAAACAGAGATGCCCAGATGCATAAATCCACCTGTGGACTAGCGGGCATCCTTGTAGTCCAGCTATCTCAGCATTTGGTGCAGGGCAGAGAGTTATGTCTTACAACAGCACAGGGGGACAAAGTAATTTCAAAGATGTGTTAGCAGTGGCTTCTCACCTTCAGTCCACCATTGACTTGCAGATGAGAGGTCTGAGTGAAATAAAATCCTGTTTTTCACTACAATGTGGCCAAAGTCTGAAATGCTGTAGTAACTGAACCTTTCAAAAGTGCTCCTCTTGGGAAAAACCTGATGTGGCTTGTTGGAGTGCAGAAGGTTGGGCTGCTGCTGGCTTATTACAATTTATCCAAGCCAGCCTCCTATATTCAGTGTAGTAAAGAATTGCTGAAAATGTAAAGATATAGGACAAAATGTATATATATGTAGACAGATTTTTATAGAACATTATGACCCTAATGTTATACAGAAAAATTACTCTAACTGCTCTTTCACAGTTTGGCATCATAATCAATCCAATGCAAGTTATTTGCTGGGTTGGACTCTGGCTACCTGCCATGCCTGGGTTGTGCACTGGACACATACCGTGTGTCACCTCCACTGTGACCCCGTGGAGCTGGCTCAGCCCTGTTTCCAGATCAGATAATCTGCTCATGAATAATGGAGAGCTGTGTGGCCAGCAGAGATGTGTAACAAGTGCCACATGAAGAAGAAGAAGAAACAAAAACAACTCGCTTACATGCCTAACAACTTCACTGAGCTCCCCAGGGCTCCTCTTCTCTTTCCTTATCATGATATCTGCCACTCATATATCTTCCTTAATCCATTCTAACAGTGGGAATCTATTTATCCACCTTCCAAAGGGTCTGCAATTTACAGCATATCTGACTGCACTGAGCACTGCAAAGGGGTCATTAAATTATTATTGGGTAGCAGAGCACAGACAGTGTCCAAGAACAGAAATGTTGAGAGGGATTGTGTTTTTTCCTTACAGCACATTCAACTGGACGGTGCCTTTCCTCTCTGTCCTGGCCTGCTTGGTCCTGGCAGCAGCAACAGTTATTTTGTATTTTATACCACTGAGGTACATTGTTTTAATCTGGGGTAAGTACTCCACTGTGTCTCATTTGTATGAGATAAATACAATATATGTCTACAGAGTGAAATCAAACAAGCTTTAAACGACCTGTTACACAGACAAACAACTGCTGTTGCTTAGAGGTGAATAAAGATGTTATGAACTTCTTAAAATTACCATTTCTCCCCCCTGGGTTATCCGATAATTTGCTTTTCTTAGGGTTCTTTATAAGTTTCCAACAGCACCACAAGAAGAGCATTAGCCTAGATAAGCTACTTTCAGTGTTATTATTCTTCTGCAGGAAAGTAATTAGCTTCCTGGTGCTGGAGCCCTCCAGCTGGGAAATGGTAGGAAGGGGACAAGATGTGTTTGCAGAGCTGGACCATGTAGATCTGGACCCTGGGAGCCTTTTGGGTCTGAGTATCCTGGCAGTCAGGACAGGCTGTGCCCAGTGGGACACACCAAGCTTTGCCTTTTGTCATGGGTCAGAAAGTATTTGTATGAAGATACATAATGAACTAAAAGAGGAGCTTTTAAAAAGTAAAACTTTCCTGGTGGCGTTGTGAAAGAAATGTGAGGTCATCTTTCACAGAAGGAGATGGCATTCAAGGGCATAGGACTAAAGGGAATGGCTTCAAACAGCAAGAGGGCAGATTTAGATTAGATATGAGGAAGAAATTCTTTCTTTTGATGGTGGTGAGGCTTTGGCACAGGGTGCACAGAGAAGCTGTGGCAGCCCCATCCCTGGAAGTGTCCAAGGCTTGGTTGGACAGGGCTTGGAACAACCTGATCTAGTGGAAGGTGTCCTGCCTGTGTCAGGGGGCTGGATTGAGTTGATTTTTAAGATTCCCTCCAAACCATTCTATGATTCCAGGTGCTGAAGGCTTTCTACATCTCCAAATGACCTCCTGTCTAATTTAGGTGCTAACTTTTATCTCAGCCTTGAGGCAGAAAGGTGTGGAGAACATAGTGCAGGTAAATCCTCAGTGACCTGCAGGGGCTCAGCCCTGATGTGGCTCTGAGTTGTAGGGACATAGTGCAGGTAAATCCTCAGTGACCTGCAGGGGCTCAGCCCTGATGTGGCTCTGAGTTGTAGGGAGCCCCTGTCACCCCTGGGGCTGAGCCATCAGCTGCTGTCTTGGATGTAGAAAAGGGAGGGAATGAGAAAGTGGCATTAAAAAAAAAGCCATTCTTGGGCAAGAGCAACAAAGAAATAAAGGATTAAATCAAACAAAAGAAAGGGCAAAAAGAAAGGGGAGAAATTGCTGAGAGTAAAAAGTTCAGTAAAAAAATATTGTTGTTCTTGTGTGGAAGACATGGTGAGTACATGAAAACTATACATCCGTTCAACATCATCTGGAGTGACAGGACTTTCAAATATGATACATGTTAAACAACTACCCCATGGCAAGGCCTCAAAAGACCTTATGGTATTTTCTGTTTTTTAAAAATCAGGTACACAGAAAATTGTGTTGTCATTTTGCTACAAGTATATGGCTTAAAAGCTGAATCTCAGATGTGAAGCAGGTACATTTCAGGGAGAGGAGAAGGCTTGGAGCAGCCATCATGTTTGAAATCATTTTCAGGGAAACCACTATGAGATTTTGGACAGGGGCATGATGGAGTTGAATGCTGTATTATGATCCTCAGAGGCAGCCAACATTTGAATTCTTTTGCTATTCTTTAAAATGGGTTAGCTGATTTTCTTCACCTAGAAGACCTTAAGAGAGGCAAGAGAAGACCTTCTGAACTTCACAATAATATGAACATTACATTCCCATGGATCTTCTGTCCAGACTAGGGACCACCTCTGCCAACTGCAGCTTTACTAAGTCCATGGAGATGGAGATTGCTGCAGTTCATAAGCCTAATAATTCACACAAAGATTGAGCTAAAGTAAACCTTGTGATAAAGTTTTATATTGTCCCATCATAATATGGGCAGTTTGGCCAATGTGGCCCTGCAAAAAGGGGATAAGCCATGAGGGATGGGGAAGGGAAGCTTTCATTTTCTGAAGAGATGGAAGGAAAATGTTTCCCAATTATTTTCAGAGCCTTCCAGTTGGTCATGTAGGGTAGCAGATTTAACAGCACATTTGTTTTCCAGTGTGTGTATTCTCCCTATAGTAACCCCCAGAATGAATTCTTGCTGCAATCGCTTTTCACCATGTTTTTGGCAGCACATGATCCCAAAAGTAGAGAAATACCTTTGTCAGTAATGTCCTCCACTTCCTCCAGGAAGCACTTGTGAGTGATTCCACGTGACAGGGAGCATGTGTGTGGCTTTAAGTCTGAGGCACTGTTTTCACACTAATTTTTACTTGCGAATTCCCTTTCCCTTTTTCACCTTGCCTGAACAAATTTAGAGGGAGGGAGTAGAAAAGGCTTGTATTATTTTGTTTGCTTTTATTCTATATATATTTTTTTTTTTATCCTAGGCATAAATAAATTTACTAAGAAGCTTAGAAATCCCTATGCCATCGACAATAATGAGCTACTAGATTTCCTCTCCAGGGTACCATCTGATGTTCAAAAGGTAAGTAATGAATGGCCACAGCCAACAGAGGCAAGGAGTGACACTGAGAGCGGCTGGGTGCTCCGTTTGGGAATACAATGCCAAAGACTTTTGAATAAGGGAGATAAGGAATCTGGGGAAAATCCACAAAGGGAGGAGGAGAGAGTGTTAGAAGAGAAGGGAGCCAAAATCCTTTGTCAGAAGGATGAAATGATTGCGGAAAAATTATCCTGGAAAGACCTACTTAAAAATGATCTGGAAAATCACTCAGCGTGGTTACTGAGCTATGGTTTTCGTCACCTTTCTGCTCCGGTATTTGTACAGAGGGAGGAGAAAAATAGTCTCTTTGATAGAGATAACCATCCAAAAGGATTTGCTGAATTCTCCTCTTTCTCAAGATAGGGGGAGGAATGGGGGGAATTATTTCTGTGACATTGTGCTTGAGCTCCAGGCCTCTTTTGGACAATGCCCTGCTCATCTTTTTCTTTAAAGAAAACCCTGACATGTGTTTAAAATACTCTACAGTTGATCAGATCAATCTTCTACCATTATGGAATTATAAGTTTTAATCTAACCAGAATCTATCCTCCCTCAGTTTCAGTCAAGTCTTGTCTCTTCTCCCATTTCTTTGAAACAACAACATTGTCTTCAGCAATCTCGCCTATCTTCCTGGAAATTATTTGAACAATAAATCCTTTCGAATGTCAAGATCTGTTTATTTCTGTTGGAGGAGGGAAAATAGTCTTGCTGGGTAATGAAGCCACACAATATAAAGGATTCTTTCTTTTGTTTTCACTAACTGGAATCTCTGTCCCCAGGCCCTGATCCTGATGCCCAGGATCCCTCTGACATTGTACCTTTCACTTTCTCTGTGGCACTTTCCCTGTGAGGTGCTGCTCACTGGGAATAAGGGGATCACAGTCTCACCCGTAGTGACTTTATGCTGTTGGAGACAGAAACTGAATTGCTCACGTGCAGTGTTGAGGCATCTGGTGGAAACAGAGTTGGAAAAAACTTACTTATCTCAAGAAGCAACCAGACTGGTTGGTGGCAGCACTAATAACTGGAAAGAAATCTCACCATGGACTGGTGGGAGGAAAAACACTAAGCAGGAACAGTCATAGATCCATTAAGCTTCAGTGTATTTTTATTTGTTGTCATTGCTCTTTTAGATGCCACTGGATTGCAGTGATGGTTTGCATATGCCCTTTAAGTGTTTATGTTTAAAGATAAGCTGATTTTCTATTTATGCTTTATTTAGCATTTACACTTACAACATTTCCTTGAGTGGTTTCCATCATATTGGGATCCTTTGAGCTCTCCAAGGAAAATGATCACCATTTTCTATGGGAGGAATGATAAAAGTTCCTTGGATGGGGTGAACCTTGGAGTTTTCCAGTAGTGCTGAAAACAGTGACAGCCACACACTTCAGGGACAAGTCATCCATGGAAGCTCCAAAACTCTTCTGCCTGCTTTGTTTTTTGTGCTATCAATGCATCAGCATTTCACTGGGGTGCTGCAGTGAGTTAGAAATGACTTCTGTCTGTACAATACCCATTTACAACCACAAGTCTTGGACAAAAGACAGAGGAGGAGTGAAAAGGATGACATTTTCAGACAAATTTTCCCCATGATTTCTGTGGGAATACTTTTGTCTCACACAACAGACAGTTTGGAGATTACACCATCCTTGACAGTTTACTACACATGTTTTAATCATTATATTGTATATGAATTTGTTTTGAAAGGTGGAGGTAGCTTTGTCCAGGTTCTATTTGGGAGGATACTTTCCTTTTTTGAAATTAAGTATTTCAGCATCCCAGGGTCTGTGTATGGTTTTGACAACTGTCATCTTACTGTCTATTGGGATCCACTTGAATTGAGACTCCTGAGAGAAGTTTATTAAACTAATAGGTTAATGCCAGAAAGATAAGAAAAACAACTCCCAAACCAAAACAAACCCAAAAAGATTGCTGAAATCAGGTAGAACCCCATGTATCTCATTAGAAAAATCTGCTTTTAATATTTTTGTTTCAAGAAATGATGCATGACTTCTCAAATCCTTCCTGCAATTAATCCCCCATGTTCCTGTGTTTAGAAAATGATTCATTACTTTTGAACCTTCCTTAGTTTCCCTGGGTTTGTCCTGGGGGAGCCATTAACACACGCTGCAGTGAGCTAGAGTTACCTAAGTGCAAACGTCATGCCTGTTTGTTTTTACAGGTGCAGCAGGCTGAATTGAAACCATCCAGCAGCTCCAGCCCCATCAGGAAGAAGCGGAGCGCGCTCTAGGATGCAGCAGGGTTTGGGAATGCAGCACCTCCCTCCCTGCACACACGTGCACACTCTGCACCCCTCCCCTCCTTCTTGCTTCAGAACAACACTAGAGTCACTGCCACGGACTTTCTCTTTCTTGGAAGATGTGGTTTTTGATAAACACCTATCTTGGGTTTCTTTTCTGGGTTGTGTTTTTGGCACGGAATCCCAAAAAAGAGCAAGGTGAAATGTGAATTATTTTGTGGGATGGGGAGGAGAATGGGAGAGGATGGTGCAACTGCACCTTTTATTTTTCTTTTTTTATTCCCCCCTTTGATTGCAGAGACAAGGCTGGATGTGGCAGCACTCCCTGTGTTATGTAGGAAGAGATAATTCTGCTTAGTGTAGCAGATCAACTGAGATGATGTGAGGAGATGCTCTGAACCAGTTTTTAACATATCCAACAGATTTACATTAAGATATGAAAGCTATTCTTTTCTGAGTTAAATCACTGTGCCTAGAAAGGTTTAAGCTCTGAATTAACGAGTCTTTGATACCCATCTTCTGTTCAAGCAGTGTACATTTTAAAAAGTTTTTTATCATAATTAGCAGAAAGAGCTAGGAGCTCCAACAGTATCTCAATATTTCATCCAGCACTTGTGGGTTTTCCTTTTTCCTTTTTTTTCCTCCTTTTTTTTTTTTTTTTTTTAAAGCCCAGCCTATGGTTAACTCTTTGTATACTGGAATCATCGGAGATCCATTGCTGGCAATGGATGCATGAAAACCTTATGCCATGAAAGGATTAAGAGAAAAGGCTAACTCAGTGACCTGAAAAGTGTCTGTTGGCTTGCCTTTTATAATTCCATCTCATCAGATATTTTCAGCATTGCTGTTGTTTTCCTGTCTAAATCCAGAGGGGTCAACACTACAGATCCAAGAGGAAAAGAAAAAACGAACACTTTGTAGCCTTAAAGAAACAAGTGCTTGTGCAGAAAGAGAACATGTGCCCAAAGAAATGGTTGTGCAATAGTGTGCAGGCTTTGGTCCACCACTGATGTCTTCTTGCAGTCTTTCCTGGTGGTTCACAAGGAGAGGATCCAAAAGTGAAGTCAAGTGGAAACAGCAATGGAAAGACAGGAGAAAGGACCCCATTTTGTGTTCTGTGGAGGATGTGATTTTTTGCTTGCTTGCCAATGTTCTAGTAATTGTGCATTTGCTTTATGTATTTTAGAAAACCAGCATTAGTAAGGTTGTTTGACAGGAGAAAGTAAAACACAGACTCATGTGTAAAACCTGCTTAATTTTGCTGATACTGCAGCCCTCGGTCCTTTAGGTGCTGTGGGACGTTTTGGGAGTGATTTGTCACCACAAGTCATTGGTAGCACAAGAGCTGGATTTGTTGCTTATGATTCCTAGGCAAGGATTACCACCAACATTCCGTGGGATACTTGACAGTACAAAGAAATGCAGAAACCTGAGAGATAGGATTCTTTTTTGGCAAAAAATAATAAAAAAAGGCTTTGAAAGTCATCTAATAAAAAGTAAAATGGATGGAGTTGTGTGTGGTTCCATAGCACAATCTTGTGGGCTTGTTCCAGGAATTTGAAGAAGGAAAACTGACAGCAGACTATAGTCCACTGGGTTATTAGCCAGATTCAGTAGTTTTTCATAAGTTTATTTTTCAAAGTCCCACTGTGCCTTTGAATAAGGACAGGCACATTTTCATATACTTGATTGGCTAAAGAATGTATTTTGCTTATGCAAAGCTGTGTGTAGCTGCAAATGGAAGGATTGAGGAAAGATTATCCTGGTTTAAAAAGCCACAAAAATGCCTTTTTGTTTGCACGTGTGCTTGTGTACCCATGCATATACAGAGTTGTGTATAAAGAGTACATGTATAATGTATTTATAGGCGAGTGTGTGGGGGAAAATGGGTGAATATACAGATTTAAAAACCTTGAAAATGTTTATGAAAAATGCCAAAGATTCTAAAGCTTATCATCTCGCGTCTGTTCTTCTTCATTTTGTATCTTTCCCGGCATGTCTCTCTGGCTGAGCCAGATCTCTGCATGATTTGATTTACTTCAACTTAATGAAGCTGGTTGGAAAGAGCCTTGTAGAAATTACAAAATCTCCAGTAAATCTCCTTCTTGTACATACAATAGATGTCCACGGAACCCTTTTGTTAAACCAGTTTCTCAATCTTCTCTGTAAACAATGCCTCATTGTCTCGCTTCAAACTATCATCTGGTTTATCATACTGTAATCTTGTCATTTTGCAAGGACCAAAGTCAGGCATATTTAAGCAGGCGTGTGGGATCTGATTGCTGATTTGAGTGAAAACATTCAACTGCAGGAAAAACTGTTTATTTATTCAGAAATTCAGATTGATACTTTGGTAGTTTGGGGGTTTTTCTTTAGGTTTTTCCACGTGGAACTGATTTCTGTTCAGGAGACAGGGTGATATCTTCTTCTTTTTCTTCTTCTTTTTTTTTTTTTTTTTTTTTTTTTTTTTTTTTTGGTGTAGATATGTTTGGTTTCAGAATAATTTGTGTTAATTGTTTTGCTGGAGACATACCAAATGAAGGGATTTGGATGATCCAGTACCTATATATGTTGTGATGAGCTCTTTGTTTTGATAAATGCTGTTTGAAATGCAATAAACATTTGAGGTTAAGCTGATGCTTTTAATTTGTCTGGATTAGGAGATTTGTTTCACATTCTTTGCAAAATGCTGTGCTATAACATTTAGTATCTGACTAGGTAAGCAAGGACATCCCTTGGCAGTGCAGTGTAACCATTCACACTGGAGTTTGCTTGGAGTAAGGAGAGGAAGTGCATCTCCTGCTGCAGCAGGAAATGAGGTGAAGCCTCATCTCACCTGCCTGCAACTCTTTAGTGGGATTGCCTAGTCTCTACTTCAAGGAAAGAAGGGTTATGTACTCTTGCTGCACAGTCCACTTATGAAACTCTATATTCAGATTTGTCATGAGATTCTTAAAGCAAGACTATTTTTCTATGTTCATTTCCCTCTGCAAATTATCAGTTTTTACATTTTTAAACTATTTAATGTATAACATAGAAATTAAAAACGTACATTTTTACTTCAAGGTGTTTGTTTCAGGGCATTTGCAATCTAAAGTCTCTAAGACCAGAAGTCATTCAGAAGTTTATTCCAGTATAACTTTGGGTCTTTTGGGTGGTAGAATCATGGAGATAAGGGAATGTGAAGCATGTTCACTGACTGTACAGTGTATAGATAACTGGGTTTGACATGTTTGTACAAATGAAATATTTACTCACATTTGCCCAAACATGAGGTGCTGCTGAAGGTTTGGTTTTTGGAATATTCATGAATAGGACTGAGGACTTGGCTTCCCTATGGATCATTGTTAGTAAAAGTCAATCATGAAGCACACCTTGTGGGAAGGAAGCAAATAACTGAGTAAAGCACAGCTGGAAATGCCACACATCTTTCCTTTTTCTCTGCTTGAAAATCTCTGATTTTAACCTTCAGCCACAGCTCTACTTCCCCCTCAGTCACCTCCTGAGCCACCCACAAAGCAGAGTAGAGCCCAGGCTTTGTCCTGCTGCCCAGGGATCCCACTGGAGAGCCTGCCCAGCAGACCAGCACCCCTGTGCATGGTGCTCCCCTGGAAATTAAACTGGCTGCTGCTAATTCCCTGCCTGGGGTAAGAGCATAACTCCCTGAACTGGGCTGTCCCACTAGAAAACAGAGGCTTGCCATTTAATTTCCTGTGCTCTGTATGGGGCTATGTTTTATTTTATATTTTTAATTTGGAGGGCCTGATTCTGCAGGTGTTACCACAAGTGGAACTGGAGTTATTTTCCCATCAGACCAGTAGGTTCGCACCAGGAAGGACTTTGGCTTCTCTGGTACCTTGATTGAAAAATTGACAAAATACATTCTAACCAAACCTTAACCTTTAGATTTTCCAACCTTTAACTAAGCTGTTAGACTGTTTTGGAAATGCTACCTTTGGCTTTAGAGACTCTGGCATGTGTTAGTAGTGAATCCTCTTCTGATTTTAATATTGTGTGTTGTTTTATCTGTAAGGCTCCAGGTGTCAGGGCCCTGGTGCATCTATCCCTGTAAATCTCACAGAGTCTTGATAAGAATATCTGCTCCTCTGCATCCTGAGAGTTACCAGCTCAGAAGGAAGCTGAGATACTCCAAATTATTGTTGGTTTGTTGCAGATAGAGTGTTTTAATCATTCTCAAATTTGGGTCAATTAAGCCAGGTGAAATATGATTTTGGGATGAAGTATATCTGCCTGAGAGTTTATCAGAGGGGAAGACCCTCAGCAGTAACTGAGTAATTCAAGGTAAATGTGAGCAAAGGATATATTTATGATTAATGTAAATATTCACCAGCATTTAGAAATATTGTTGGAGTGAAAAAAAGAAAAGTATTTTGACATTAAAGCATTTTCAGTTTACTTTTCTCTGTGATGCTTTGACTGAGAACAACACAGCATTTCAAGAGAATTTAGAGGGTCATTTTGTTTTGCATGAAAGACCTGCTCAACTGACATAAATCATGAAACTGAGCACAGGGAAGCAGGAGATGGCATCCAGGTCTCAGTGTTTGCAACAGCACCAGCACCTGGGCGGGCACGAGTTCAAATTCTCAGCGTGGCTTTAACCTGAGGGCTGGTGATTCTTGTTAAATTTTACGTGAACGAACGTTGCCAGTCGGTTCCTGCATGTTGGATTGAACACCTGCAAATTCCCTCTGGGCTGAGCATGATGGTGTGCCTCTTGCAGAGAAAGAAAGTAAGAGCTGGAAGACTTGCTGGTGTAAAATTTGTGCTGATGTCCTAGTGCAACCAGCCATCTAAACTCTTGAGGACTTCTTGCAGAAGGGAGGTAGGGCAGCCTCATGGACTGGGCACATACATCTGGTTCTGGGTCTCACAGGGTCAGGTTTAGATGGTAACAGATCTTGCCTCTCATTCTTAATCATTGTCTGCTAGGTTGGCTCAGCCAGCACATTAAAAGAGTGGCTTTCAGCCCAAGAAGGAAGCAGAAGGTCCTGGCCCTCAGTGGTTTGGGGCATAGATGGATGGGTATGGGTAGGGAGCCTGTGCTAGGGAATGCTTCTCCAGG